TCCTCGGTGAGGCGGGGGAAGGGGGAACGCGCTCTTGGACGGTAATCAGCGTTGAGGAGGAGCTGGGAGCGAAGGTAGGGTTTTGTCTGGCGTGTGGTAGTACTGTCCGCGTTGGAAACAGGGCTCCCAACCCTTTTTAAAGTGGTTAAGGGGCAGGAGTTAGGGAAATGAGGGGAAAGGGGGTAAAAATCGTCCTCTATATTCAGTCTCCTGCCTTGGACACACGCTTGTTTTTCCCCATTGAAGTACGAAGGGTCCAGAGGAAACACTGGCACCTAAATCCTCCCCAGAAAGAGGAAAATGGACTTGAGATGACTGGTAGCCGCCCACGCCTTCCCGCCCCTCCTTGGATTTTCGAGGCCTTTCCCTCAGTCCCTTCAGTTCCTTTCTCCCTTTCCCCTGTTTCTTCACTGTCTTTCAGCCGTTCCCCAACCGTCAGGCTCTGATCCTCTCCCGCTGCTCCACCACCTTCTGCCTTCCATCTTAGCACTTCACCTTGTTTTTAATGTGACTCATTTTTAAATTGCTCTACCTCCTTACTTCTGTTCACTGTAAGAATCAAAGCAGCCCAGCGTGTACTTGTTGGCAGTCGCTCTCTTCATTGCCTCCTTCTTTTCTCTCTCAATAAAACCTGCTCTTTATCTTCCTCCTCCCGATAAAAGAAATTCTGCCACTGAACTAGGAGCAAAGAGAAGCAGCTTTTGAACCCACATCCCCAGTGGAGTAAAGTCACCCTGTGCCACGCTGGCCTCAGTTCCTTAGCTAGTGGACCCCAGCAAAGGGACATACAGATTAGGACACACTCTTCTCCAGTGTGCCTTGCCTAGAGCTAGGGATCCCAAAACACATTACATGAACCATATCTATCGACATTGCGGATTAAAGAGAGCTTCGCTGCTGCCTGGGCAGAGGTGTTTACCTGGCAAGGGCTGAGCACTCCCCAAAGGCTCTTACATACAGTTCCTGCCTGCATGCAGGCATTTATCTCAAGGCAGACGACAGTGGGAGTAGGGAGGGAAAGGAACAAGGCGAAATGAAGAGATGGGGTCTAGTTTGTAGGGGTACGAAGTTAGAGCTGCAGTATGGAAGCACGTGGCTAGAAGACATAGAACTGGCTTCATTACATGGAAGGAGAGAAAGGAAGGGATGTGTCAGAAGGGTACAGAGGAAAACATGATCAATGAGCGTACACACAGCCTAGCACAGAGCTAGTATCCAGAGCTATAGTGTTGTCAGTACCCACAAATGGCACCATCACAGCCAGCGCTGACCGTATCATCTTTGGGATGCCCTGCTCTAGGAACAAAGGAGTACAAAACCACATCAGTACAGCAAAGGCAGCAGTAGGCTGAGAAAGACAAAGCCTCTGGGTTTACAGAAACATTTCCCCAGGCCATCCCTCTGCTCGTTAGTCACCCCACAAAGGCTTCTTAGTAAACATGTGCTGTTGAGCAACCTCCTCCTCACTGAAAGGATGTAGGTTCACAGATCATTGGCACCTGTATAAGAAACTGATGCCCTGAATCAGAGACACAACATAAAAGTCTTCTATTGCCCTTCTTTTTTTTTTAATCATCATAGACTAGGCTAGCTTTATACTACACTCCTAGATCAATCTCCCTTGAAAGGGAAAGACTCCCTTTCTCCCTTCTTCTTCTAAAATACTAAAGTTTAACATTACCTACTTTTTCTGCCTTTGCTAGGTTAATATTCTACATCTCAGCTTATTCCTTAAAAACTGCATTTTTTTCCCCTCTCTATTTAAATACTAGGCTCATTTTATCTCTCTTTCTCAACCTCCTGGGGGCATTTAACCTTTTTTTAGATCAATTAGATATGGGATTCCCAGGTGGGTGGTGTGCAAGGCAACCAATGAGCCTTTCAAATCCCTAGTCAGAAGCCAGTGGCATGACTTTGTCCCAGATCCACTCTCTGGAAGAGTCTAGCCATGCAACTAACTAGGCAGGGCTGTGCTTGGGGGAAAAAAAAAATCTCTCTCCCTTGGAACACGTACCATGACCTAAGCTTGACGCAGCTGTCCAACAACACCAAGGATGTGAGGCTGGAGGAGCACATCTGCCAGCCTATGAAGATAGTATTTGGCTAAACAGGGTCATCACCTTCCTTCCATCAGTCAGTGGTAGTACTCTACACACTTGACCCAAACAGGCCACCTGTGCCTTCTCAAGATATTATGATAGCAATCATCTCTTATAGCTCTTTTGCTTACATTTTTCCATATGCAAAGTTAGAATATTAACTGCCTACCTAATGATGGTATAGCAAGGAGCTTGTTAATCTTTGAAAACACCAAGTATTATCATCTGGGCTTTTTGTAAGCCAGAGTGAAATGGCATAAGAATAGCCAGACACAATGTCAACAGCTCTTCTCTCTATTAGAGTATTCTCTGAGGCCCTCAGCCTGGGAATCTGTGAAACCTGAAAGCTACCAAAAAGCTGATTCTAAGGAAATCAGTTTGTACTTCATTACCAACTTGTTCTGACAAGTGGAAAACATTTGCCCAAAGGGTGTTTCTGTTTTACTGTTCTAAGTGCCTATGTTCCAATTCAAACCCCTAGTTTTGTGTGTTTTATCCCCCTGGGATGCATTGTTGGTAGGTAAGAAACAGAGCATAGGCTTAGTGGAATGTTACATTTCAGAGCGTAAAGGACAGATTCTGGCAGCTGCCTGATCTTGGTGTTCCCTAGTCATCACTTGGGTGAAACCACTGCTTCATCCTTTTGACAATTACTTTCTGGGAGAGAGCAGGCATATTGTATAATTTGTTCTTTAAATGTCTCTGTATGGTTAGTATTGGTCAAGAATGAGGAGTGCATATTAGAATAGCTTTACAGTATCTTCTTTGTAAACAAATCAAGATTTTAGTGCCATAAACAACACTTTTACCTAGGACAATTTCACCAGCTAAAAGGAAGATGATTAAGAGCTGGCTGTAGGCAAAAGAGAATTGTTATTCCCCTTACAATTTAAGCCCTGAAGCATGGTGCAGTCCCTTCTCGTGCTAGAGTACATGCGCACAAACTCCTCCTCCAGATACCACAGTATTTACTGACCACAAGTAAAAATACAGCTCCATGTAGCTGACTACATTGTCACTGACTAAACTACAAATCAGCTCACAAAAGTGAGGATTCAAGCTGTATTTAAGTTTTATATGAACATATGCTCTGCTTAAAAGTGCTTTGGGAGAAGCCTCAATTTTTCTAAGTAGCTTTCCCATTTTTTAAATGACAATATTTTGGTTTTAAAAATTCAGTAAATATTTTAGTTTGAAATTAAATTTTCAGTTTTCTTAACCAAAAAAAGGCTTTCTATGAACAAGTCTTGGGTTTGGCTCTATTTTCTTGTAATTGATAAACAAGAAACATATATTCTGAAGCAGAATGTCATGCTCCTGCATATTGATTGGTGAGAAATAAAATGCTGTTGACTTTTTCCAGGAGCAAATTACAATACTCACTGTGCTATTAGCTACTCTATCTTTGCGACGTTCTCAGGGTATTTCTGTGAAAGTACAGGTTATCGTTGCATTTCAGAAAGACAATCTTACTCCCTTTTATGGCAATGCAAGCCATGCCTTAGCCTAATGTGATCACACTGGATTTCCCTCATTTTCAAACCCAATTAAAAGAAAATCACAGGAAGATGGTAGGATTTGCTATATCGAATCTCTTGATTTAAGAAGCTGCAGTCTAAGAATCATTTCAAACAGGATCTGTTTCAGGATAGCCATTTGTTAACGGAAATAAGAAGGAGCCTCTGAGTACAAAATCCAGCTCAAAACTACCCAAGAAGAGTACTGTAGAGGAGTACCATGGTAAATGAGAAGACACAGATGGATTGTTTTAGGAGAATTTTCATGTAATTGTGTTAGGGACTTTGACAAATATCTGTTGACCTAAATTCAAAATGTGCTACTGCCGCCACTTAGGATAGTAAAATTCTCCATAACAAACCTCTGCAATGCTAAAGGCTTATATTTTTCAGGAAGATAGCAAGGCTTGCTCTGTGCTGCATGTCAGTTTGATTCTGCGTTTCTGCTGTTCAGTGCTAGATTTCTCATTTCTTTCTAAAAAAGAAAAACAACTTAAAAACAACTTGAAAATTCTGTA